AATATATTTAAAACAAGAAAAAACTTTATTAAGGTAGGTTTTTCAAATAAAATTGAATATAATTAATATGTGAAATATGGGGTGTTGTTTACGTGCACATAATTACATGCTAACTATCATGGACCTAGGTAATATTTCTAGCATGCTAAACACTTACTTATCCTTGCTTCCCCATCCCCCCTTGAGAACTTTTAAGATCTATGTACTTGACAAGTTTTAAATATACAATGGAATACCAAGGCTGCTTCACATCCCTCTTCATTACATCTCTGAATCTTCTCCACAATTGAACTTGCCTATTGTTTAATGAGCATATTTGCATTTACAACTTTTTCAGCTACTGGAGGAAGCCATATACCTCTCTGTTTTGCATGACGTTTGGTTCCACATGTAAGAGATATGCCATGCTTATTTTCCTATGCCTGACATATTTCACTTGTATGTTCTGCAGTGAAGCAGCAATGCAAGAGAAAATACTGATCAAATGTTAAATACCAGCAGTGTGTGTCACTAGTGATGCAAAAGATGCTAACCAATTTCAATGGCTTTTTAAATACCAGCAGAAAGCTGGGCAAATAACTCAGTGGATTAAAGCATTTGCAAGCAGGCTCAGGGGCCAGGGGTTCAATCCCCAGCCTGCCCTACTTGCCCCACCCCTGGGGGTGCTTGAGATTGGGCATGGTGGCCAAGCCAGTAATCCCAGCTATTCCGAGGCTGTAAATGCATGAAGTGCTATGAGTCCGATCTAGTAGTGAGACCCTGAACTCCCTGTAGATCCTTCCCTAACATAAATAAATAATTAAGTAAATACAGAAATAAATAAATACACAATTCTAGAATTTCATTTTTGTTAATAGTAGATCATAGTATTTTGAAGACTCTGTTTGACTTTGTGCAGCTATTAGAAGATTCTGAAATATGTCATTTATCTGATTTCCTCTGAGAGCTTTCAAGACTATGAAAGATTAGAGAGCCTTGGTCAAGAGAAAGAGAGAGGCTGTATGAAATGGAGCCCAACTTCTGGACCAAAATCACTTCCCTGCAGTTATTTGTGAATTCCAATAGGAGGAC